AGCTACTAACCCTAAGCTTTCTGTATACGGCCCCCATTTTGCACATTAATTCACAGTTCTTTGCTTGTTGCACATTCCACAGCATCGCTGCCCAGGGAATGCTGGGATTGGAGAACATTTTTTCTGTGCAGTCATAGGATCGCACTTTTAATCATTCTTTTTTGCACTCCCTCGGTGCTTCCAACTCGTTTAAACCAAATCTCATGTCACACTGTGTGGGTTTGTAAAGTCTCCCATTTGTCTGGACCCAAATATGTTTTCTACAATTTTCTCTTGCATTACAATCTCCCCAGCCCCACAAGTACATCAAACCAGTAGTTGCTGCAATATCTCATAGAACAAATCCAGATATTATGCACGTCATATTAAAAGCCATCCACTTCTACTAGTTTAGAACTGTGAAGGGTCCCTGTGAGTTACATACTTCATGGGGAGGCAGGGATGGCTGAAGTGCCTTCTTGGAAAGGAGTTAGGTTAGGTGTAAACTGAACTCTTATCAGTATGGCTATCAAAATGCTTGCTGAAGCATCCTCTGAGAGAAAAATGGCAAAATTTCTCCTTTATCACTCTGTTGTTATTGGTTGTTTATGTTATTGCATTTCTGTCCTGCCTTTTTGCATTTTGTGATGATCTCAAAGGAGCTTATATAGTCCTCCATTTCTCTATTTTATCCTCACAACAACCTTGTGAGGGAGGTTAGGCTGAGCATTGGCAACCAGCTGAAAGTCACCCAGTAAGCTTTATGGCCAAGTGCAGATTCGAACTCAGATCTTGTAATTCCCAGTTTGACATTGCAACCACTATGCTACACTGGCAGTGGCTGCTGCTGGGTGCTTTAATGTTGATTTTGTGTGTATGCCTAGAGATGGACAAATCACAGGTTTATGGGATCTACTTTATTTTTCACTAGAACCCTGAGATCCACCAAGCAGAGTTTTAAGCAAAAGATCTGTGCACTGGGAAATGAAAAATTCTGAGCTCAGGATTCTGTTCTGAGGAGCAAAACAGAAAGTTTCTCATGAACCTTCCAAACAAAAATCCACTCCTGGCTACTTCAAGTTTTCTGCATTTAGGGCAGGGAGTGAACGAAGAGTCATTTGGCTGCTGCTGTCATTAAATAATCAGAAGTCAAAACTTCTTGCCAATCTATTAAACATTAACTACCAGTAGAACCAGATCTACCTCTTGCCCACTTGTTTTAATGATGGCACAAGGATACACATTCAGATAACTGGCCCATAATTCCCAGAGTCCCTCTTTTTCCCTACTTTTTAAGACAGGCACTGTGGAATATTTGAAACACATTAGGGAGGTGAGGATGAATACTGACACTAGAGAGGGAATAGATGCAATGTGGCAGCTGTTTAATTAGGTGAGAATCACAGTTGCATAGAAAGCAGGCGACATGTTTTTACAGCTAGAACAGGAGGGGTGGGCTGAATTCCAGCTCTGACATGGACTAATGGGTGATCACAGCCAGAATGGTTCATGCCCTAGCCCAGGTACAGGCAACCTGGTAGCCTCTCCATGTTTTGGACTTCAGGTCCCATCAGCCCCAGTCAGCAGGGGAAATCATCAGGAATTATGAGAGCTGTGGTCCAGAACATCTGGCGGGCACAAGGCTGCTTAGCCCTGCTATAGCCTCATGCAGAGAGTGGGGAAACGTCAGGCGTGCAGCATCTATTTTGTGTGCTGCGTTCTTTACTGAAGGCAAAGCAGTAGACAGAAGTGGGTCCTCTGGAGAAGGTTCAGATTGAAGTTTTCTTCTGGCCTAAGAAGGCCGGAACCAAAGAGGGGCTTTTCTGCCCATGAACTCCCAGTACTGCCATTTGCACGACAAAGATCTTCTTAATGTTGTTTTGTTTCTTGTTCTCTTCTGGCTACGCCACAACTTGGCTAACCCTGGCTAGTTTTGTAGTGGCAGCCTATCATTTCTTCTACAAACAGACGATATGGGTGGAAAAGTGGGACATGCTTACCGAAACCAGTAAGACAGAGTAGGTAGTTACAGGGGCAGCGAGTTGCCTTCTCCATCGCCCCAGGATCACTGTGTGTGACCGATCCGCATTCACACGTAACAGGAGGCCACCAGTGAGGTCGCAGCTGCTCTGTCCACGCCCTACCCCATAAAATGCCTCCTAATGGCCTATAAGGAAAGGTTATTGCAGTGATCCTGGATCCTGGGGCCCAATTCCCATGCTCAGAAGTAATCCCTACTGCCTTCAGCAACCAAGGCTTGCTCACAGGAACTGTGGAAATCATTAGCAATCCACAGATCAAGTCTTGGAAGTAACATTGCAAAATGCAGTTTACTGCAACTCAGTGCTTTCCAGATTTGTTGCTCTACGACTCCTATTTTCCCCAGCCAGCAGGCTGTGATGCCCCCCTGGCTGGGGATGATGGGGGCAGTAGTCCAGCACACCTAGAGGACCCCAGGTTGAGGAACAATGACCTACAGGTTTTATCTTCTGCCATGTTGAGGGACAGAGCTCTTCAGTTTACAAGACGAGCACCAGCTCTGTTCACATGCTACCCTTTGCCTAACCGCAGATTTACCTTGGTCTGTGGTGCAGAGATAAGAAAATAGTTTTAGAATAGCCACTCTCATTATGGGCTTCTGTTGAAAATCATTCTTAATTTTGTCCTGGAGCTGAAATGAGGGCTGTTCATCAAAATCAGGTAGAAAACCCAGGTAGTTATTGTACCTGCAATTGGGCACCAACCACCCAGACAAATGGTAGCCATAAAGGCAAGAGTGCATGCTCTCAGGGTTTAATTAAACATTTAAAAAGCAATAGTTTTGCAGCGTAAATCACCGTGCAAATCAGTCTATCATCCTCATACTGCTGAGTGAATGGACTAGATTACAGCCCACAATCTAGTCCATTATTTCTATTGCTTGTTAGAGTGGGGCTGGATGGGGCATGAAACCAAAAAACCCCCATACGAACTCTATCTCAGGCTGCAAAACTACACCCTCAAAAACCCTCCCCCAGCCATGAAAGCACTATGTGAAGAAGGCCTTCCTTTTATCAGGCCTGAATTTTCCAGGTGAGAATTTACCTTGCATTTTATGATCGGATATGAAAGGCTGTCTTCTTGCTTCTTCCTGCATTAACAACATGTATATGTGCAACCTTCTCTCTGCTGCAGGGGGCGGAGCAAGGTGGAGGAATGGCCAGTGCAGTGCTGAAGGCAAATTTCAAGTGGGAGCCCACTCCGTTGCCCCCCTCCCCTTCTTCCCCCATCCCGTTCCCTCTCCAGGTGGATGCTGAGGGAGAGGAAGGCCGCTCTTGTTGAGGGGCTCATCCTGCACATCTGAAATTAGGCTGAGGGAGCCAACTTGCCACTGAAGACAGGTGCAAGGCTGCTTCTCCAGCAAACCCCCTGCATGTTTACTCAAAAGTAGGTCCCACTGAGTTCACCTTGCAATCTCCTAAGAAAGTTATGTACATCTGTGATAAAGTTTGTGAACCACACCAACTTTTTCAGGATTGCAAAGACCTCCAAAAGGAGCTCCACAAACTTACCTGAATAAAATAGCCAGTGATCAATACTTAAGGAACCCCACTGGTAAACCACCCTAGAATCAAACTTTGATGAAGGCTTATGTAAGAATATTTTAAATAATAAATAAAAAGAAGACTGATAAAATATGCTCTCCCACCCCCTCAGCCATTTGCTTGCACTCATTCCCCCCACCACACAAATAAATCTGGATCAGATATACATTTGTGAAGTCTCAAAGAGAAGTGTCTAATGAAAAGAGGTCTCAGTTAAAGTGGAGAAATTAGGCTGAAGTTTTCCATGTACATAAGATGATCAGTGTAGCTTTGATAATCAGAGTGGTAGTACCTCACTAAGTTTTAATGCTTTTATTATTTCTGAATTAATGAGATACAATGATTTCATCAAGCTTGAAATGAAATAATCATAATCAAAACAGCTATAAACAGATTCAATATTAAGCGTTTGACTAAAATATCTTTGATCAGCTTTGATCCAACCTTCCCCACCATGTGACTAGAACACCCAGACAGCATGACTTTTGGCTCTGCTAGCTGGGGATGATGGGGTTATAGTTCCATACATATTCAGGGCACCAGGGTGGGTCAGCCAAATACTAACATCTTTAATTAGAACAAAGCTCAGAGTGAAAACCTGTATAATTCAACTTAGACATAAACTTTACTGTTATGACAAACCTGAAGCTGCCATATTTTGGACACATCATGAGGAGGCAATCATGCTAAGGAAAGCCAAAGGCAGAAGAACGGGAACACCAAATAAGAGATGGAGTGACCTCATAAAGGAAGCCACCTCCTTAAGCAGGGGTGACAAGAATAGGACATTTCGGAGGGCTTTCATGTATAGGGTTGCCATAAGTTGGAGACAACTTGACGACGACAACCGAGCTTGGGGTTCTAATCTCCCATCGCATACAGCATTCATAGATATGGTAATTTCAATTGTGAAATAATCATATTATCTTATGTTAATGAACTGCTTTGATTTCTTAAATGCTGTTTCTAGAAAGATGAAAACCCTAGAGCAGGGCTCCTCAACACAATGCTCCTGTAGGCTTTCAATGGTACCTGGGTACTTTCTACCCCTGATCCTTTCAAAATAATTTTTTAATTTAGGGAAAACTTGGAAAATGTTCAGCCAGCAGGTTCTTGCTCTTGCCTCTGATCAGCTGCTAGAAGGGAAAGAGGAGAAAGGAGGAGGGGCCTCCTGAGCCCATGTAACCGCTGCCCCTTTCCCCTTCGCTTCACACGTTCTTGCTCTCCAAGTCTCTTCTCCCACCTCTTTACCTCTCTGTTTCTCTACTTAACTATATATCCCCCTTTCCATTTTTAGCCTTCCCTTTCCCTTCCCAGCCCCTTCTCTCATT